TTCTTTTGCAGAACTGACATAAAAAATAATATTTATGATTATGACAGATAGCATGTATCATCTGTCTCTGAGAATATGGTACAGTGAAGAACTATATAGACTAAATCATACACTCATGACAAAATTCAGGCACAACTGAATAGATTAAATTTTGAATATTATCCTGTCTCCTCAATGAGTTTCCTTTCATAAGTATGGCACCTCAACCTGTGATCCCATTAGCTTCCCTCAGCAGGTTGTGCACTCTCTATAGTTGAAAAGCACAACCAGAAAATGCTGATACTATAAGAAATTATATGGTAAATTTAATGGCTGTGCTTAGAAATACTGTGAAATTAAACATTCTGGGTTCTTTGTGAGATTTAAAAGGGAGACAATGGACTTCTGTTATTACTAGGGGCATCATTGTGAAAGGGGATTCTAAATTTTCATTTAAATATTGTGTACCCAAGTGTGTACATTTGCCTTTCCAGAAAATACATCCATGCTGAAGCCAGATATGCAGATGGAACAAAAATTAGAAAGTCACCCTAACTGATGCCAGTATATATTCAGCATCTTGATCCAAGCTGGGCTCTGGAGCAACACAGGTTACAAACACTAATCCTAGATTACCTCCCTCCCCAAACTGATCTCCATCCTGTAACCTTGAAATAGGGGAGTGACAGCAGGGCAGCTCTGGCTTGCTTAGTCAGAGAGCAACCCATTTTCCACTAATGCAGGGGAGATTCTGCCAGTGCCATCTCTCTGATTTGAAGCATGGATCCTAGACAGGACACCCCAACTTCAACTGCAAGCAGCAACCACAGAGCAAAGTCACAGAGCCAGCAGACACGTTACAGCCTGCCATAGCCACCAACTGCCAGACTGCCCCACTTCCAAAGGAGGCCTGGCACGGATGACCCTCTGAATCCCAGATCCAAGTTCCGAATGTGGAGCTTCAGACAGCCCAAATACCTCTGCAAAACCCACCTGCACACATCAAGCCCTAGGCAGGCCTCTGGCAGTACCTCAGGGGCTTGACTTGGTCTCTAGCTGTCACCTGAAGTGCTCAGCTCCATATGATCCCATAGTGCTTTTTTGCAAAATGGAAGGGAACTAATCTCACTGCTGGCCAAATTCCAGCTTTGAGTAATTACATTCTTCTGACAAATTTTCCTTGGCAGTTTCAATGGAATATAATTAGTAAATGTAAATAGATGTAAACAGTGCTGTAAATTACACTTTGCGTGATTGTCAGAAGCAGAGGGGGAGAGCGAGGGTGAAGGGGCAAAAAGAGCAGAGCTTCGTTCTCTGATATGGATGACGTTGTGGCCTTCTCTCCCCCATCAGACACTCTCTCTCATCAGTGTATGTCACTGCCAAGACAGTGTGTTCAGGGCTACTGCAGCAGGATCATCATGTGGCTCATCACACAGATCATCCCCTTCACCTCAAGTACAGTTTTGACATGATGTCATGTCCCACAGCTGTTTGTGAGCATCTGCCATGTTCCACCTCAGCTGTGCTTCTGCTTCAGCAGCAGGCAAACTGCTTCACACACACACATGCAACTGCAAAATGAGCGTACGTGATATTATTGTTTTCTATGAAATGCTTATCAAATTTGTGAATGGTTTGTGAAACCTTCTGCTACCAACAGAAGAAGTGTCATATAAATGGAATTATATAATTATCCTTCACTGCTATTTTAATGCAGCTTCATGTACTGTTTTCACCTAGAGTGGAAATAGCTTCTTCCTAAAATAAAGTAAATGCATATACTTAACTCAATGTAGTCAAGTACATTTAAAGGAACTATTTAAAGTAATGAAAATAGATTATAATATATACCTGTCTTATGTTAGTATTTTATTATGTGTCAAATGTCTCATGTACAGCATCTGTTTCAAATACAAATTGATATGGTCAGTGGGATTAATTAGATCTTTCTGTCATCCAGAGAATTCAAGGATGATTTTCCAATAATTCACTTATTTTTCTGTTTATTCAAAATTTGCATATAGGAAATAGCTAGCAGAAACTAGTAAAATGAAGGGAAAGTTAATTTTCTTAACAAAAGCTTATTGCACTATTAAGCTATAAGAGGAGAAACAGATGTTTCAGCTTTACAATACCATGTCTTGCAAAACTTCCCTCTGAACGACTATTCGTGCTCTACATGTTTTGGACTGTGTATGGAGAGCTCTGCTAACAGTCATGGGAAGCATTGCATACATTACTAAAGCCCACATAAAGATAATTAGTGCTAAAAAAAAGAATCAACAGGCCTTTTTTCCCCCCTTTATAGTATTGATTTAGTGTGGGTGAAAAATGCCAGATTTTAAGTCTTGAAGATTCATGTTCTACCACAGAGTGGGAGATGGAGCCAGCTTTTCCCAGCATTCTGCCAATAAACACTTAGCTTAACCATCTCTAGGGCTGGGAAGAAGAGCCAGGCTCTACGGTCTATCAACCCTTAGTGCCCCTGATGAACCTGTGGACCTGGAGAATGAGGACCACACAGACTGGGGCAAGGAACTCAAATTTTTAATCTTTGTGGCTGTACCTACCCAGGCATTTTCTTGTCCAAAAATTCTCAAAATTGCAGAAATGACCAGGAGTAAGTATTGAAGTTGCACTGCTGCGGAGAGGACTGTGGGTAGTGCTGCAGTGGTAGCAGCTATGGAAAAATTTATACAATGAAAGAGGCCTTTGAAGCTCATTTTGTATCTTACATGTATATCTCCTAAATGGCAAATTCTGTTTTAATTTAAATTTTGTAACTTTTTGCAAATGCTATGATAGGGTATACACATCATTTACCTCTTTGTCTGGCAATAACTTTATTTTCTGCAGATGTAAACAATATCGACACATCACATAACCAGATGTGATTGTGCCTGGTCCTTCAAGATGCTGAAGTCGGGGCAGTTTAAGGTAGCAACTTTTTTTTTATTATCAAATGCCATGCTAAGAGCATATACGTGAACAACTCTGAATACTCTGTGGATAAGTAGCTACTTGGTAAGCCACCTCACAGCTTGCTCCTTCCCCCAAGGAAGGATCTACTGCAGAGATGCCCCTGAAGAGAGCAACATGTCCTACTAGAATGTTTAGTATTTATTTTAATAATAGAGCTATCCAGGTTAGTTGAGGATGACATTATTTTGCTAAGTGTTTGTAAGGGTTGCTTTAAAACCACTTGCTTTCAGAAAAGTCATAATCAGGCTAAGCACTTTAAGACTTCTATAATGGAAGGCCAACACATATTTTTTCATTCAGTCTGCAAGAATAAACTGAGCACAGCTGTTTTACTGAAAACAGCCCACTGGTATTTAAGTAGATTAACAAAATTAACTGTGAAAATCCTCTGCTATCTGAAAGCCAATAACCTGTTGGCCACAAGGAGGCAGGGCAAGGATTTAGTACACTCAAAGAAAATGCCTTTATTTAAAGTTAAATTAAAAAAAAAAAAAAAAGAAAAGAAAAAGAAAAAAATAGAAAACGAGGAGCATTAAATTAGTTCAGTCATGAAACTCTGAACTGCTAGGCAAGATAAAAAGCACTTTTTCATCCACAGTGTGTGGTTTCAGAATTGCTGTTTTATTCCAAGAACAGCAAATATCTTAAGATATGAAACAATAGCTGATCTGGCAGCAATTTTCTTCTTTTGAAGAAGCAGATCACTCATGTTACTTCTTCATCACTTCTGTGTGATGTAGAAGAAAACTCTAAAGCTCAGCTTTGATAGAAGCAGTGGATTTACCAACTCAGAGCAAGAAGCCGTACTGCCAGGTTCACAAGATGTTGCTCCCAAGCTAATAAATCCTGCCTCTGGGCAGCTTTAGGAGCTGTGCCTTTTACTCCCTTGGCACTTCTAATTCTAGGCTAAAAGCAAGCAGAAGCTGTTTGGCATCTGTAGCGCCCTACCAAGAACCTTATGCACAGTACACTACAGTGATACCTCCCTCCCTTAACTAGAACTTGAAGACATTCCAAAATTAGCACTAACTCGAAGTCAAACTTCTAAATGACAGAAGGGCAAAAGAGGAAAATAAAGCCATAGTATCTCTATTTCACAATTAAATTGAAAACTATCATATTTAATAACGAAACAACGCTGTCCACGGCATTAGCATATCACAGTTCAAATCTACGAGTGATCTTCTGGTTGAGATGAAGTGACTTTACTCTTGGCTCTGCCACTGCATGCTACTGATCTAGGTAATTTTGGTCTCTTATGCCTCTGTTTCCTCATCTTTTATGCAGTTGCCTTTCTTCTTTGTGAATCAGTATGAGGTCCATGGATAAAAAACATGCTACAAGAACTAGTCATTATTAATGCAATTCAGATACGGAATGCACCAGATGGTAAAATCTCCAGGATTTTAATGAACTATTGTAACAGAACATATGTAATATGACGTTATTATAACAGGCATTTAAATGTATAGTTAGTACATACAACGTGACCTGTGCTGCTCTCAGTAACTCCACTGGAATTATTTTGGATTTATGTCAGATAATACTAGGAACACAAAGTAGCCCCATATGTGCAATGTGGTAAGGTTTTCATAGTAATGTTATCTTAACTATTGCCTGTCCTGTTTTTATCTGTATCTATCATTTAGTTCTGAGCAGGAAATAAAAGAAAAGTACCTAATGTCAAAGACTAAAATGCCTCTGACCAAGTATTTGACTGGGCAAAGGTGAAAAAATAGGACTGCAGCTCAAGCCACTGGCATCAGACATTACAGTCAGAGACAGGTACTTACTTCAGTAAAGGAGGGACATAAAGACACCATCAGTATGTATAATTCTAGCTCATCTAAAATACAGACTATAAAACTCAAGTGAACTGACACTTAATACGTGAGAGGCTGGAAGCAAGATATCAATTTCACATCATAAATTAGCCTTTGTGCTAGTGCCCAAAGATTTGGCTGATTACTCATTGCTTTCCCTTAGTGCTTAAGCAGTCTTTTCCAAAGCAAGACAGTTAAACCACAAAAACGTACCGTAGTGTCCACAGCCCTGACCTTCCCAGCAGGAACGTGCTTTGGAATGGGTTCTTCTACTGATATCATCATGCAGCCTTCTGCTCCAAGAGTAACAATTACAAGCTTACACCCTCTTTCTAACAGCATGCGTCCCACCTTTTCAGCATCTTCAAGGTTGCCAACTGGGATGCCCGTTAAAATTTCTGCCTGGAAAACAACCCACGCAAATGAAAATCATAATCTGACAGCATTCATTTTTGGACAACAGTTGCACTTGAAAACAGTATTTAATATCTTTTTAAAATGTCTATTGTAGGATGATCATGAAACCACTTTCTACGCTGATATTTGAATATGTCTTGCTACTCGTTGGAAACCAGCATGCATTTCAGGTGCAGCAGACTAATGGAGAGCAGCCTATGCAGAGACGCAGGAGGCATGGGTTCTGTTTCAGCTTCTACAACTTACCTGGCATACAACCCTTAGTAAAATCACATTTCTCCCACATGCCTCAGTTTTTATATCTGTGAAATGGACACAATGACACAGTCTTGGCAAAAGCACTTTGTGGTCTAATGTGAAAAATGTTACAAGGCAACTTGGTCACTATTGTTGAGGGATATTTATCTCCAAGTGAGAAACTTTTTAAATACTTTTTAAAATTCTCAGTGTTAAACCAGAAGGGGAAATTCTCTTTAAGGAAAAAAAAAATTGCTCAACTTTGACCACTTTGTTTAGTTTTATATACATTTTTTGATGAGAATACCTAAAATTTATCTGTCTTTACTAAATTTTGTCCTGCTTGCCTGAGAAAAGGGAAGTCTTACTACAGGGTTGCTGCTGGATCCTGAAGAATGCAGTTTGAAGTATTTCCAGATAGCTGCCTTGTAGCTGAACATAACTTCCACACTCTTAGGGGTTATTTTCAGTGGAAAACTTACTTTGGAACCTCTTCAGTAGCTAATCTCCTGACCTCTGCTACACGAGCAGCTCAACTTCTTGGGAAACAGCTGCTGAAATGTTTCAAACTACCTTCCTCTGCCTGACTGAAATTTGAATTCAGTCCGCATACTTCTTGATGTAACAAACCGTAAACTACAGTGATTAAACAACTGCTTCATGGAGCACAGGCCATGCCTGTAGTAAAGAGAGGGAGAGCAGACAGCTGGGGACAGGAACTACTACAGCCATCTACAAGCAAACCGCCCCCAGCTGTGAGTCAGTGCCTGCTCACCACTGTCATTTCCTGAGTTTCAGCCTGACCCAGGCGAGAGCAGCCACCCTTAGGCTCTGAAGGGCCAGATTATGCCAACACACTCCCTAGAGTTTATCATATCACTAGCAGAGGACTTACTGGTTTTAATTTTCAAACTTCTATGACCAAGTGCTGCAGTCCCTACTTAGACAAATGCACAATGATTTCTAGCACTGTTGATCTGATCACTATGAGAGGGAGGCTGCTGTGGCAGGACTTGATGGGTAAACTCGTGGGTTGCAAGGGCAAGGTGTGGTTAACATGTACACAGAATTTAAAACTACTTTTTTTAACCACACTGATCCCAGACAAGAATACACTAAGCTTTAAATTATAAGAAGGCAACTAAACCTATCCAATTTTCTCTCTGGCATGTCACCATGCTACTCAAACTTCTCTTGCAGTATGAACTATTTAAGCAAATTAAACATATTTCAGTCTTTAGAAGGCCATAAAAGTATTTAAAAATAAGAAAACTAGTTTTCAAAATGTATCTCACAAAACCTTTTGAACGTATCTTTTTGCAAGGTTTGCAAGGAGTTAATACACCAAAAATGTTTTTGGAGTAACTAAGGATAGATGATAAATAGTATTAAAATATATACATAATCTATTCAGGCATTTAAAGAGTCTGTGTCTCTTCATGAATTTTGAGATCTCTGGAGCAGGAATTATGCATTCCTGTATTCAAAACACCTAGTACGTCATGTTACAAGAATAAAAATGGATTAACACAAATCTTTGAATGAAACTGGGAAGCAGTGTACTTTATGAAGGGCAATAATTCCAAACATTCTACCTATGCTGCAGTCTCCAGGATGAAAGTGGATTTGGTTTTGGCAGAGAAACAGTAAACCTAATACGGGTTTACTTACCTGTTATACTTCTGTAGTTCATGAGTAAAGTAAATGAAGTATTTAAATACAATATTCTTCCTAATGAAATGCACATCCTGTATGCTTAGCATTAAGACTGTACTCCTCTTTGTGCTTCCTATATCCCAAGTCAACAGGTTTTTTTGCTTGAGTAGAGAAAGAATTGTTCCGGGACTGATATGTGAAAGGTTTTGCAGAAATCTTTCTTTTCATCTTTACACTGCTTATACCAATAAATAAAATTTTTTTGAACAGACAGAGCCTGTATAAAAGTAGATCTTCGGCTGCTTGAAACCACTATCATCTAACTCATCTACAGCAGGATGGTAAAACTAAAAAACACTGGAACAAGCTGTAAGAATCATAAAAGTAGCAGAAGCCAGACAGATTCTGTGCCAATAATTAGAGATTGAGATAAATGTCAACTGATGTTAAATACTATGGTGAATTTTTAAGTTCCTCCCTTCAGTAGAATCTTATTTAAAAAACAAACTGTGGTACAATTGAAGGAAATAACTAATGGTTATGTAAAGAAAAAATTAAATAACAATACTAAAAGCCCAATGTGGACATTTGCCATATACTGTACAAAAAAGCAGCAAATTAAGAATTTTGTTTTTCTGCAACTAGTCTCATAAGACCACTCAGTCAAATGGACCTAATAAAGCAAGACAACATTCCACACAACTGCTGTCAGAATAAACCTATGATGGATATTATATAACTAATCTACACAGAATTTTCACAATTTTGTTTACAAGAGTGGTAGAAAAATTTAACTAAAGCTTTTAATTTCATTGATATGAAGATTCTTGGCCACAGTTCTCACTAATCTTAGTTAACACTCCATCTCTCTTTAGACTGCAGAGTCTAGTCATGGTAAGTTGACACAAACCAGAACTGCTACAGAAAAAAAAATGGCCCTGATTTTTCCCTTCCACTCCTGTCAACATGGCCCATTCTCTTGTGCCAGCACAGCCATTTGTGTGGCCTGGAAACAAACTGGATTTCAAGGTAGATCTGTGTTAAAATTAACACCACCCCCAGTACCACACCACCGCCAAAAGTCAATCCAAAACAATGAACTTCTTTCAACAGCAGTACTAGTTTACACTGCCTAAAAGTGAGAATGATCCTAGCATATGAACATTTGCCAATTGTTCCTAACTGTGGTGCATTTGGGGCACCCTATGGCTTACACAGCCACTTTTGTGGAGATGTTCTGGATCCTCTGCTTGGCATTCACAAGACCAAATCTGCAGCATCATATCTAGTTTTGGGATCTCTGGCACAAGTAAGACACTGACATTCCACAGCATGCTGCAATGGAAGGTCATCAAGACAGTCAGGTAACCAGAGACCAGGACAATCAGGTGACCAGAGACAAGAGGAGGCTGGGAGAAGCAGGATTGTTCAGCCTTAAAAACTCATGGCTAAGGGGAGATGTTATTGCTGTCTGCAGGAATTTAATAGGTGGGTGAGAAAAGGAAGCCAGAGTCTTCTTGAAGATGCACAGGGATAGGGCTAGAGACAACAAGCACAGACTGGAACACGGGAAATTCCAGTATTAGGACAAGCTTTTTCACCAAAGGGTGACGAAGCAGTGGAACAGGTGCCCAGAGGTCATGAAGTTTCCAACCTCGGAGATTCAGAACTTGACTGGACAAAGTCCTGAGCAGTCTGACCTCAGCTGGCCATGTTTCACCACGGTGTTGGACTAGAGACATCCAGAGGTCTGTTCCTAACCTCTACAACCCTATGATCCTCAGCAAATCTAAACTGGTGAAATAACAAGAAGTGTTAATTCTTTGGGGAGCAGTCTATCATTTGGCCTGTTTTTTGTACACCTAACACAATAACAACTTTGCAAGTGTTGCCAGGAACTGCTGGAATAATAATAATAAATAATAACAGGGAAACTGTTCCAGTTTTAAGGCTAATCCATCTAAAACTACATATGATAATTTAAAATATTTTTAATTTTAAATATTTAAACACAGCAAGCCAGTTGGCTACAAACTTGGCTCGTACCTTAGCAGATTTCTTTGAGAATGACAAAATAAGAACTCAATCTCATTAATTCTAACACATGTGAACAGTCTCAGAGAAGCAGTACAATAGATTTGGTGTATAACCAATTGCAAGATCAGGCCACAAGCCAAGCTAGTTCCAGTTGTTTCAAATTATAAAATTTTTACGTACATACAGGCAGAAATACTTATCATACTAGAATAATTAAAAGCTGATTGAAATGAATTAGCCTGAAGCTATTCCCTTCTCTCCCAAAAGTAACATCTTTCATTTTAGACTAAATATGGGAAATTTCATAGTTTCCAGTGACTGATAAAATCAGGTTTAGAACAAAGTTGGAATTAAAATATACTGTGAATTGCTGGCTACTTCTTTGTAATGGCAGAATAGTAGTTCTCCATTACTTAAAAGAGAAAAGGCAAATTCAAGAGATATTATGAAATACTTTATTTATAATACTTTATAAAAGGACCTGTTTTTGTTTTGACTACTAAAGATATCAATTATATTTTCTTTAAAAAGATTATCCTTAGTATTAATGTCTCTATACTAATAAGCAGTATCTTAAATGTCCTTATCCCAGACTATAGATATAGTTTTAAAAACCTGATATTTTCTGAATCTTCCAAAAGTCAATATTGTCTCTTGATTTTGGACATACTAATAAAAATTTACCTTACTAATATTTCTTCCAAAAAATGATCTAGCTTCTGGCAGTAGACAGTAACACTTAAAAAGAAACAGTAAGAAAGTATCTATTTTTCTTTATTATTTTTGTATATCTTGCAGCGTTATTTAACAAAACTAGCAATTCCACTTACATTTAGTTGTGCTGCTTTCTACTGCTGAAACTCCAAAGTATTCTGCTACCATTTAATTAAATCTTTGCTAGGCCGCCTTTATGTTACAAGCCTGATACCTCCTTTACATTGGGGAGAAAGCAGTTCCCAGCTTTGCATTAAAAACAGTTTGACAAACTTAGTCATTTACTGCAACTGTTTAGGAGTTTTCCTTCTCCTGAAGGGCTCCTCAGTATTCTTTGAATGGAGAAGCAGCTTTCTTCAAAACATTTAGGATCAAATTGAAATCGCTGATGTGCAATGTATTTTGGTTCCTAACCTGCAAGGCTGTGTAACTGCATGTACACACCAAATAAGAAAAACAAGACGTGAACTGTATTGACATTGTGGTTATGCCTAGAGCCATCTGCAGCAAGGAATCACACAAATACGTGGGAAAAAAATGGTAAGTATTCCAAAGAGCTCATCTTGTAGAAGGTTGTCTCGTTTTCAACATTTATAGATGACTGAAAAGAACAACCATTAGTTTTCACCAAGATGACATTGGATACATTTATTTTTCATTAGAAGAATTAAGGGAATGGAGAACTAGCACATTCCTGCACAAACCTCGGGGATTAGGCTGTGCTACATCTGGGAATTAACAAACTAGTCTCAACAAGTTTGATCTTTCTGGGAAAAGATAAAACTGAACTACAGGCTAAGCAAAGAAAGAGCTGATAACCTTGCAAGATTTGTTCTGACTTTTTTTTTTTTCAGGAACCACATAAAAAGAAAGTAATGTCAGACATAAAGAAAATTGTTATTGCAACAAGCAAGAGTGAAAAGAACAGCTTGTGAAGAGCCTTTTAGACAAACTAATGGTAGATAATTCACTGATAGAGTAATTCTGTTTGCTTCTCTCCAGCACATAAATCCATAAGAACAAGCTGTGCTGTTATACCAGATACCACATGTGATTTCATTAAATCCTAAAGCATTTAATGAAGGATGGAGTATAAAGTGTTGATGTTGTATTTGATATTCGCATGTTTGGCAACCGACATCCCGTGGCTGACACTACAGCTGACACATTTAAACTTCTATTCCTTGACAAAGGCACTGCAGATAAACCCCCCTGACCTTCATGGCTGTAAATAACAGAAACTTCTGATTCAGTAATAATTCAGCTCATCACAAGGACTACCCCCTTTTTCTCATCTTTAATAATAGAAACACTCCACACAGTGTATGAGATGTCTCAAGCTAAATGGCTGGTGTTCTGTTCTATAGCCAACACAATTTCTGTTTCAAACATACTGTTCACATATTATCTGCAAACCATAGGATTTTATAATATAAAAGTAGTTCTTGGTGAACAACAAAGATAGGGACATTTTGGTAAAACTGTGATAAATAGTTGTAAATGTAAATTACTAAGAAATGCAAACCAATCAATTAAAAAAAAGTCTGTGTAAACTTAATCTTGTCTTAGCACACACATGTGCTAAAAAGAATGTCTTAGAAGCAGTTGAACTGGGTAGCTCTAAAGAGTTCATCTTTAAACCCAGGATGGTTTATTAACTATTTAAAATACTTACTGAAGATAAAGAAGAAATACACAATTTTTTTTTTCTGGTAATACCTAAAAATACCAAATAAAAAATAAAAGATCCCAAAAGGTGTAAGGCAGGAACATAAATAGGATTTTGGCTAGAAGTAAGCTATTTGAGACGTAGAAATTACAAGCAGAAGGGGCAATGGAGCTGGAACAGAACATCTCAGGAAAGCAGTTGTAAGCAGGGCATTCAATAATTCAGCCAAAGAGAATAATAATTTTAAAAAATCCAAAAGAATGACCATTTTCTCAGAGTAAAGGTCCATCTTATCCAAATGCTCTTTTATAACTGTGACTGCCAGTAGATACTGAGGGAAATTTAAAAAAAAAAAAAGTAAAAAGATCTTTTCCCTATATATGTTTGGGATCATTAAAGTCTTCAGTACTCTCTGATTTAAGAAGATGAAGGAAATGCATATCTAGTTAGTTGAATGGATAAAGCTGAAAAAATTAGAATTATCTTTAGGATTTGTAGAATCAACTTGTTGCTTTTAAGTGCCATACAAAGATGTGACTGGTAACCTTTACTTGGGTATGTAAACATTTATCTCCATATCAAACCTCTCGAGTGTATTCATTACAAAGATCTGAAATTAAAGCAAGTCATGAAAGAAAACAGAAAACAGATGGCATATGAACATAAAACAATTACTAAAAAAACAACTTTCAAACTTGTGACATAAGAAAACCAAATGCTTCATTTTCCTCTTTTCTCAGCAAAAAGAAAGGAACAATGGCAATAGTTCATCCCTGAAAATCAGTTCAATACAAGTCAGACACACAGAGAGCATGAAATCAAACAAAATTGATTATTACATTCATGCTAACGTAATTGATTTCAATGCAAAGTTTGAAAAGGTTATTGTTAAAAGCAAAGGTACTTATGTGCCATTCTTGTTCTCAGAATAGGAATCCTACACTTGGATCTGTGCTGCCATGATACGGTTGGCAGGAACTTCTATAGGTCTAGCATCTCCATAAATTCAGAAGAGATGAGTTTCATCAACAGTAGGGAATATATTTCTGTGCCTGACTTGCTTACAGTGATCCCAGCTATCTTCACATGGTAATTATTTTTTAAAAGAAAATAGCAGAAAAGAATGCAAACTGTACCCCAGCTCTGCAGGAAAGGCAGATGAGTGAGCAGGGATCTATTATAATTATACACCTGTATTTCTTGTTCTCCAAATAGAAGTAATTTTCTTTTCTCCATGTGGTGGTAATAATAATAATGCACCCTGGCTCCAGCAAACTACACTTCTCTAAGAATGTCTCTTTCAAGACTGTCCTCTAGCAATAAAATACAACAAAGGGAAAGCTTTAACATGTGTGTTGCAAAGAGCAATGAGAGAAAAGTCACGAATAGACAAGAAATGAAAAACAAAGTTTTGCTTCTAACATATGGGAGATAAGTTTTCACAGGGGAAAAGAAATTAACTAGTGGCATTATGAAAAAAAGCAAACAAAAAATGACATTTACTAAATATTGGGAGAGTAGGGGTGTCCTCTTCATCACATAGAATTGAGTTCGGATAGCTGTTGGACAGTGTCTGAGCTGCAAATTGTGTCACTGCCAGTAATCCTGGAAACTTTGGCTTCCAGAGACCTGAAGAGCCATGGCATCTCTCACCTTGCTGTTTTGCTAATTCCTGAATTCTCTGTAGTATCTGAGCATGGCAGACGCATAATAAAACATTCCAGAATAAAATTCAGATGTCCTTTTGGGTTACTTAGACTGACTCTTAAATGTTAGAAGACTCGTGGACTGAGAACTTCTGATACGGTTTGTCATGGAGTTTAACGGAAGTTTCAAAAGAGGGTAATTGAGTCTTGAAGAGCTTACTCTGACTGACATTGTCATCAGACAAAAAGTGCTGTAAGTAAGCAGGGCCATGTTTTTCTCTTAGCTCTTTGCCCTACCTTCCACCCAAAGGTATCATGTTCATTGAAGAAATCATGTTTCTTGTAGATAACTTAAACTATGACCAAGGCATGTCTTCTATCCACTAGGTTACTTCTCCTACATTCCTGTTTATATAAAGAGAGGGTGAGGAGAAGGAACACAGCATGCCTAATGCTAGTAAATAGGAAATTTAAACAAAGGGCTTATGAGATGAGCTTAATTTGTCTCTTGTGACAAAAATAATTTCCTTTGGGAGAAATAACACACTTGAATTAGAAAAGAGAGGGAAAGGAGGGGGAAAAAAACCCCAAAACAGAAAACATACAGTTGAAGGCCAGAAAATAGATTCACTGGAAACAGATCTGACAGGAAGAGGCATATGAAGCTACTATTAACCATCAACTGCAGCATGCGTGCATCACCTCCTGGCAAGAGAGTTTAAAACTGTCAAAACACTATGGTTAGTGCATTCCTGCTAATCATATCAAGGGACTATTTTAATATTTACCACTCATTGATAACATTTTAAAAGTGTTCTTTCATGGATCCGTTTTTCTGATCTACTTGTAAGAAGGTTTAGACCCAACTTTCCTGCTGCAGACAACTAATTTAATTTTGAGTGCAAGCTAAAGGTATTCTAGAACACCTCTCTTTGTTGTTTATATCAGAAATCAAATCTGTCACCTCCAAAAGTCCTATGTAAGAGGAGCATGGCTCAATTTTCCTGCTCCCTATGCTGCATTTCTAAGAAGAGTATCTCTCTGATATTTTACTGCTTAAGACTCCTTTAATATGAGATATGACCATTACCTCAGTTTCATTGCAGCAGAAGATATCAGAATAGATATAAAACTGTGGATCTAGGTCAGCAAGGGCTGGAGCTGGATTAAATAAAGTCTTTACTGGAAAAAGAAAAAAAAGAAAAAGAAAGTCTAAATTTGTAGCGGTTTAGATTCGTAAATCATCACTTGAAACACCATTGTGTTTAATTCACAGCCCCCAGTGTTTATTATTAACATACAAATGATTCTCAGTTTCCATGTCCTCATTTTATACAACAGCTAAAAACTTTATTTATTTTGAAGTTCCATTCTAATTCATGTGCAGGCACCTGTAATGATGGGAATGTGACAGAAGAGTAACAGAAAAAATAGCCAAGAAATTATTAAATTAAAAAAAGAGAGAAAAAAATCCTTAAACAGTCACGCAATTCGTTTAACTGATGGTGCTTCTTCCAGGATATTAATAAGTTTCACAAGAACTGATTTAGTTCTAGAATTTTTTCAGCGTGGTTATCTTAGTTCTGTACATGAAGAATCATGGGTTATGGAGTAATGAAGGGCATGTCCAGACAAGGAGTTAAACATGCTTCCGAATGTGTTACCTAACTTGTTCAAACTGCCACATTATAAAACTGTAGCGTAGACAAGGCACTGTATATTTTTAATATGCTATCTGGCTGAGCCAGACCTAAACTTAACACGTGGTAGAATATGTTAGTTAACCTAACTTTAAAGAGTAGTAGCCTAAGGCCCCTTGTAACAGCAGAAAAGGTTTGTCATGAGGACAGTGTGACTTACTCACTGCTAACACAGGAAGTCTGCAGCCTTGGATTCTCACTTTGCCAATTTTATGATTAATACTTGTGTCTTAACCACAAGGCCATCATTTTTAAATAAAGCATACACTTACTTCAGAAATATTCCTTATAGTAATTGACCAAATCTTCCAATTTAGATGCATAAATTTTCAGTCCTGAACACATATTTAGACTGTAAGCTATATCACATAATTGTCAGACATCCTGAATGCTTCTGAATCTCAGTTAATGCCCTAAAAGACAAAGATGCGCAGAGACTTCCAAAATCTGAGTACCAAGAAGTTTAGAAGTTAGGTGATCAATACTCTGCAAGTTTTAGCCCTTGACTGTACAACTTTATCATGCCCCTCTACCTGCCTCGTTTAAAAGAGTATTAAAGTGACAAAGACTTGTACTCAGAAGTTGGAAAATGCCAGGATTAAAAGCTCCAATGAAATCTTAATTTGGCTCCCTTATATTATTACAATACAGTATGTATTATAATAAACTCTTTAATTATATGATCACATACCACTGAAAAACAGCATGTGATCACATAATTAAAGACTGCAACATAATACATATGCAGAAAGGAGACAAATTAAGGTTTCACAGGCAACCTTAACTCTTGCATTTCCTATTTTCTGAACTGCAACCCTAATAAAGTTTTCTAAAACACAAATCTTTAAGGTATACTTTCCTAGGTAAAACAAACTAACAGCATATAACTGGAAAACAAACTATGTCATGTGGTATCATACCAACATATACACAGGTCAGGAGCAGCACTGGAAGTGTTCCAACTTGGGTTTTAAGTAATACTTATCATGAACAGGGTATAATATACTACTACTAGTTTTCTCCCATATTTAATATCTGCTGAGCAGAGGAGATAGAGGAACCTTAAAATCTTCTTTCAGGCTGTGAAGAAGAGGGTGCTCCGTTTGGTTCTCCTGAGGAACACCAAATTTTCTGCCCAAAATCTTTCATAGAATTACAGAATCATACAATGGCCTGAGTGTTGGACGGCCATTCCCCTTTGTCCTGTCACTCCATGTTCTTGTTAAAAGTTTCTTTCATTTTTTTTGTAGGCTCCCTTCAGGTACTGGAAGGCCGCAATTAGGTCACCCCAAAGCTTTCTCTTTTCCAGGCTGACCAATCCCAATTCTCTTAGTCTTTCCTCATAGGAGAGGTGCTCCATTCCCCTAATTATCTTGGAGGCCCTTCTCTGGACTTGGTCCAACAGGTCAATGTCCTTCCTGTTCTAAGGACCCCAGAGATGGACACAGTACTCCAGGTGAGGTCTCACCAGAGCACAGTAGAGGGGCAGAATTACATCCCTTGCCCTGCTGGTCATGCTGCTTTGGATGCAGACCAGGACACGACTGGCTTTCTGGCCTGCAAGCGCACACTGCTGTGTCATGTCCAGTCTCTCATCCACCAGCACCCCCAACCCCTTGGCAGAGCTGCTCTTGGTCTGTTCATCCCCCAGCCTGTGCTGATACTGGGGTTGCCCTGACCCAGGTGCAGCACCTTGCACTTGGTCTTGTTAAATCACATGCGATTCCCATGGGCCCTCTGCTCGAGCTCATCCACTTCTCTCCCTTTTCCAAGACTCATTCTCCTCACCTACTTTTTGTCTTTATGCCTCCTTGCATAGGAACTATGCAACTGTAACCTTTTCCACTCAAATTTCACATTGTATCTCTTTACACCCCCTCTCTGCTTTCTGATTCCCACTTCCAGTGCCACAGCCTACTCCCTGCCTCTATACCCATATTCCAATCTCTATTCAACAAATCCTCATCTTTGTTCCAATTTTGTTCCCCTTTCAGCTTCTCCCTTCCTTCTTCCTCTGCCACCCCCAAAAATCAAGCAAATCCCTCCTACATTTCCCTTGTCTGAAATCTACTCTCCCTTCCCAGCATTACCGTCCAGCTTTGTCTTTTCTGTATTTAAATCAAGCAAGCTCCTGCTCTGTGCTTCCTGAGTCTAAAACAGATTTTTAACAGTAAAAAAGAAGTTGCCTAAAACCAGATTCAGGAATTACACTCATGCTGCCCAAATGGACAACTACCTGTGTGGACAGACTCTTGGGAGAAGCTAGCTGTGAAGACCTTAACAATTTTGTGAAGTCTGTGTGAGAGGTACTTATTTTCCAAAGGCAGATAATACAGTTAAAATCATGTAGGTTTATGTACCATCATAAAGGCTTAGCTTTAAAAGAAAGCTCCCTTGCTATCAAGTCTAAAGTAAATTTTAAGGCAGCCAGTATCCAAAATTTAAAGGAGGTAGGGTGGGAGGCATTTTCCATTGCTTGGTTTCTGCAGCCACAGTGCTTTGGCAGAAATCACAAAAAGTTTAATGACAGACAAACAGCTGATATGAAAAATTGCAGACCAAGATAAAAAAGTTGAAGCATCTGAAAAATAGATCCTTTACTTGCAAGTGACATGGAATCTTAGTAACTGAGGCTGCTTCCAGCTCATTCTTCACTAAAGTATTAATAGGCTATATGAATATGCCACTCGTATGGCATTATCGGCCATCTTTAAAGGAGTCTGTCTTTACAGAAGCCCAAAAACTATTTTACAGACTTTGATATACAATAACATTTTGCCCATCAGTGAAGTGATCCCCCCCTTGGAAGCAGCAGCAGCTTCTCACCATCAGCCACTAAAACCCTCTACTAGTCCAGTCAGATTTCCACTACAGTTTATACCTACTTCACAATCCTTCCTCCCTTCCTTCCTTCCTTCCATCCTTGAGCCATGAGATGTCTCTCTCTAGCTTATAGATCCAGATGATGTTCACTGAAGAGAACCAAAGAGTTCTTGCTAGTGTGATCATATTCTTTCTCGCTTTTGTTTATTTCTTTCAGTAAGAATGAAGAAAAACAAGCAAAAAACCCATTGAAACAGAGGTTTGAGGCATCTGGATATGCATCTGTTTTAAACAAAAATAGGCAAGTGCACATCCTAACATGCAGTACTACATTATACATGAGGCTATTGCAGGCTAAAAGAAGGGAAACTACATTAAAAATTTACTGTTGGCTACGGATAGATTTTTACAGTGCCACAAACTCAGCTGTTTACTTAGATTTGATGGCACATGCCATTTGACCATGTGTAGCTTATTGCTTTAAAGCAGAAGCAACCAAACTTTCCTGATAGAAGAGCTGCACAATGATAGCATGCTGACAGCACAGAACTATAGCTGGCCCACAGTTGACTACTATCTTTTCTCGATATATTGTGCTGTCTACGGCTGCCAAATGCTCGCCTTCCTGTTTCATGTATCAGGTTTGAATTTTTTCAATTGCGTTTAAAAAAATCCTATCTTTTCTTCTGTCACAGGCTGGCATCTTGCCATAGGAGGGTGACAGAAGTGTGAAGCATCTTGCCAAATCTGTGCATAGAGTTAGAAGTAGACATAATAAGTCATGGATATTGATTCATGGCTCAACTATAGTCCATTAACCACTAGATTAAGAATGCTTTTATCCATTTTCATAAAACATAATGAAAATATATAGTAAGTTCTGTTCCGTGTCCTCCCTCCTCCTGCCCCTCCCACCCCCCTGTCCCTGGAATTTTAAGCATTTCAAGTGCTACTCAGTTCTTAAAGTTTTCAATTTTTATTTAGAGTTGCACAAACCCAGTTTTGACATTTCGAACAGAAATTCAAATAATTTTTCCCCATGCACGGTTCTGTTCATGGAGTTTATGACTATTACCTCCACAGTTTCAGGGCCCTCTCTCCCAGCCTCCCATCTAACAACGTTGCTTAAATCGGCACGGAACCCACGAACACGATGCATAAAGCTCTGACATCTGCACTAGTGCATGAACACCAGTGATCACAACAGGTGCACGACAGATCATAGCTGCAGAAGGAGAACTGAAGAGCCAACAATCTCAGCACGTTGTGATCTATTGGAGCAAGCCTTGGCCCAGCTGCAAGGAACTAGCTAGTTCTGATCCCAGTTCCATCCCTGATCCACTGCGTGACTGATCATGCTATGAGCTGTCCCCTCCCAGTCTTATCTTCTGGATAGATAGGAAAAACATTTTTTAAACCTCATATAGATGCCTCACTTGCATAATTATTTACTTAGTGTTTAAATACTGTGGTAATTGTGCTTGAGTAACTGAAAAGCATTACAGGCATTTTAAAAAACAAAAACATTATGTTGGTAACAAAACCCCATCCTATTCAGGCAAAATGTCAGGTTTCATCTACGTATATGCTACACTGAAGGAACAATGCCCTACATTTAAAAGTACAGTACAGTAACAATTTACTAATAATTTCACAGACCATGACTGTGTCTCTTCAATGGCACTATGCCCAGACACACTCTAAGAATTTTAGTTAAGAAGAAAAAACATTTTTATTTTATTTTAAGGATGTCAACTACTGTATAGAAAACCACAGCCATACCTACTGCTATGCTAGGAGAACACAGACATAAGTCTGGGTTTAAGGTCATTTGATTTACTTTACTGTGAGTGGAACTTTACTGACTTGCACTCATTATCCTTGTTCTGCTCTGGAATAATACCAGAGTCAGGCCTATAGCTCCTGACCTTGCAACATTATACTTTATTTAGTCACCACATGAAAGTAGGTGGAAAGGCAGCATCAGACATATAGGAGGAGATTATAAGGATATGGCTTGATTTGCCATTCAAGGTAAACACTGCAAAATTTTAAAACTGAATTCAGTTTTCATTAGCATAGCATGAATTTGTTGGCTATTGTTTCAATTCTAAATAAAACTAGTATGACAGAAACCAGAATAGACCACAGGATCTTTATTTAGAAAGCACGATAAAGAATATTTTTCATGCAGCACAAATGAAAGAGACAGAATAGCTTATGTCACATTACCTCCACTGGCACGTGCCATTTTCAGAGCTTCAAGAGAAACAGCAGGGGTTATTTCTAGCTGGCAAACAAGCACTTTGGCTTTACAGATGACATCAGAAGCCCTCTTCAGGTCTTCAGAATTTAAAAGCAGGTTGGCTCCTGGGACTATGACAATAACATTCTGTCCTAAAGAGAAGATAAAGTGCTTTTTACATTAGCTTTTGCAATGAAGTATGTAAAACAATTCCTTGATTTTTTTACAATACATTTAAGATGAGTATTTCAATTTACTTTCCAAAAAAATCCCCACTAAAAATGTAGGCATTGCTGACATTTTCAAATATCCAAATATTTCAGAGGATAATTAAAAAGATCAATGGACGAATGAATGCTGCACTGCATAAAAAATGCATTATATATTTCTTTGGGAAAAATCGTGTATGGGCATTCCTCAGTCTTATTTTGGTGTTTTCTATGAACTCTAAAGAAGCACTGTACTAGTCACAGTGGACATGGGGGATACATGGGCTGATATTTCCATTTTCCTAAAATATTCCAGTAGCATTTGGAAGAGAAAAGCATCAATGTGATTACTGAATTCCTATGCCAAAATTTTCCCATCAGCTGGGAACAAAGAGTATTTCACACAGCTACAAAAATTATGCATGTTCTCTAGATTTCAGAGAAGCAGGCTTGTGCCATTTACCTGAGACATTTAAGTTAGGGCTCCTAACCATCATGAAAACCAGAAGCAGCTTGTCACCAAAACCCAGAGAGGTGATGCCTGCGTTTAAGGAGAGCTTTATCAGAAGTGAGTGAAGAAGGTGGGCGACAGCTTATTCTGCACCTAAAGCTGGCCAATAGAATGGTCTAAGCAAAGCTACGCGTGTGGAAGCACAGCAGTGTCTCAAAGCACATCTAAGATCCTTTCCATTCCTGTAGTTTGTGTAAGAGTTAGGTGAGGTTCCAAATATTCTTTTGTTTTTCTTCAGACACACAAATCACCTTTTATTGCAGCTTCTTTCTCTTTTTAATCTCTATTACAACACCTAGAGACCTTCAGGCATGGGTGCCTTCAAATTAAAATTTATTATTAATCACTCAGGTATTAAATTCAATAAGTCAGTTGTTCCTTGATTTACAGGCTCAGCCCGCCCCCGCTGAAGATTCCTTTAAGGACTGCCAATCATTAAAGGCTACCAATTCTGTAATGAACTGAATTACTCTGCAAATAAATATTTATGTTTTTAAATACGTTATTTTTGTTGAATGTGACTTCAAAGTCCTTTGAATAAGAAACGTGCAAAGCTTCTCTCCCTAAATATGTTCTGAAAAGAAAGCAGAACAATGGAAAGAATAATATAGTGAGCTCAGAGGGAGGGACCCAAGCTTTCCAAAGCAATTCTGCTGTCAATGGTTTGGTACAGAACAGCTGCATATGAAAAGCAAAACCTCAGCACTTAAAGCCAACGCCCTGCTTTTCAACAGACAATGATGGGCATCTTGGATAAAAAACAAAAGAAAAGAAAACAAAAAAACCTTCTGCAACAAGTAAATGTTACCAAAGATATCTGAATCCTGTTGAGAAAATATTCAAAGGCAAATTGCACCTATTTTACCAAGCATATATTTTGAAAGCTTATAGGGTGCAGCAGTGCAAACAGCAAAAGGCAGGGAATCAGTAGAACAAAAATCTATTTATTTTCTGCCTGGACTATGTTCTTCCCAGAATCTCAGACTCTATCCACATGTCTTGCTGCATTATCTTGCTGAACTCTTTAGCTGTACTGACATGTATATTATTATTAGACTTTAGAGCTAATGGCCCAAGGCGATAAGGAGGGCTGTTTGCTCAAACCCATATGTGCAAATTGAAGGTAGACCATGCTGCACTAGATCACGGTCTGAAGCTTTTCTTTGTAACTACAGAAGGTCAGAGACATAGAGTCTGCTTTCAAACCTGCCAGGGAACTGCAGTACCTACTACGGTGCAATAATCCAGATAGGCTTAACCCAATCTGGAGGCAATCCCCCCCATTCTCTCCTTAGCTGCATATACCACACTAACTGAAGGTCAGCAGTCCACACAAACTTACACCAGGGTGCATGAAGGCATAATCTGGACCCATGCATTCACAATAAAAACCAAAATTTCGTATTAACAGCAACCATTTTGTTGACAGCAATTATTTCTTGCCAGGGAAATCAGATGGGAAATCAGCACCAGGGACAACAGAGTTAAAGACAGATGGCAAAGAGGGGTGGGATTCATCTTGTCCAACATGAACTAATTTTTTAAGTTTAAAAAAAGATCTTACATACTAGAAAAGTCTAAGAAAACTAATCTCTAAAAATTATTTTTCTAGGTTCCTTCAACGAGGAGAAGAGATAAATATTTTCAGAGGATTTTTAGACTTACATATCTTAGATATCTTTTTGAGGAGGAGAAAAACTATTGTCCAGAAATGTCTGTGTATCTCTGTTACCTCCAGGCAAAACCTTAAGCTCTATACCTAACTTTTAAAACCACTCCAGTGTGGCAAAACATTACCTACACTAAGAATGAGAACAACATACTGACTGCACTACCATTAATTCTAAAATATCTTTTCTTAGACTAAAAATTCTGAGTTTCGATGGGAGCATCTATATAATTTTAAGTTTTGCAGACATCAGCTAGAATATTAAGGGCCACATTCGCAACTGCTATAAGCTATAACAGCTAAATGAAGCTTATAACTTGCACAAGCTTACACCAGATGGGATTGGGTACAATCAGCATGAATGCTGCATATGTAAATACTCATGTCCTCAGCTGGGCTTCTAAACCTGATACTGTCACTTCTTAGAAAGACAGGTAACTCAAGCTAGACTTCCTTTACAAGGGTCATTTTATAGATGCCACCAGATGAGAAGTGCCAGTGGAAAAATCAGTGTCAAACCAGTAAACACCATAGTGCAATAACTATCACTCTTTAAAACTGGATGATGAGCCTAAAACCCATCAGTAGTGCTAAGAATTCACCAAAATCTCAAACAGTGCAATTGTAACAATAGCTGCAGAGCTTGTGCATAATAATTCATACAGAAAAAAGATTACATTTGTGACCAGAAAAGAATGTTATAAGAAAAGCATTTGCTGCCAAATCACACAGTTCATGAATATGAGGGCAAGTTTTGGGTGTGTTACAGTATCATAATTTCTATGCAACCACTTGATAGAAGTATTGAATAGTCTTTTACACAAAACATTCAAGTTCATGATGAATGTCAATAGAAAGTCTCTAAAATTCAGGTGACATTTCTTCACAAACCCGAAGGTTCAAAACAAAGATTTTCCTCTTTGGAAAGTATAATTCAAACAAGCTGGCATATGTATGCTAAGTTTGCCTTGTTTATTTAGCTTTATCTAAATATGTATTTTGAATGTTTCTATACTAGTAGTGCTTTGGTACTGAAGGTACACTTACTTACAAAATAATGTCTATTCACTGTTCATGAATGATTAATAACCTTATCATAAAGTCAGCACAATGCCTGTCTCAAGTGAGGGTTATCTCATAGTGTTCTGAGTAGGTGAGCCTTATGTCTTAACTTGCAATAATCAAGAGAACTTTAGTCATGACCTGCCAATCTCTGTTGTCCCTCCACTGAATTTTTGCTATGCATGTGGAAGCTGTTTGACTTGTTCAAACCTCTAGCCCTGTCAGGCCAGCATAATGGCACCATCAACAGTCAGTACCAGATATGGACAAAGCTGCAATAAACTTCATGTAAAAAATTATCCATAAAGAGGGTTTTTTCCTCCCTACAAGTGTATGTAAAAGTACAACACATCACTTCACGGAGTTCTCACCACCCAACAGCACACTGTTAGCAGAAGGTGTGCTAAGTGACAGAGCTTGTGGCAAGAGGCAGGCTGAAAGGGGAAACAAAACCTGGGGTTCAAAGTGGTGTGATGCACCTCGAAGAAAATGTGTTAAGAAAAGCAGGTGGATGTACCAACTTTTATCCTTAAGAGAGAAAGTACAAATTTGAATTGTACAGGGTCCACAATACTGAAGCTTGTGTTCAGTCAAAACTTACCTGAAAAGGTAGTTGCACGAAAGAGAAAACTGAAAGGAAGGCAAAGTTCCAGCAAGACTTCTGGACAGATTTCTGAGACCATCCAGAGGGAACCTTGCAGCACCTCTGGACTGCACGCTTTCCAGTGCAGCACTATAAACTTGTTAAACATCTCTTCACCGTTTTGCATTAAGGCAGAGATTTAACCTCTCTATCTTTTATTGAAACTATACTGTATTGCCACAGAATATAATGCAACTTTGAGAGTATCAACTGTGCCCAATAATTTTCAAATTTTTAGTACTTTGCCAATTACAATAGTGTGTGAATTACAGTTGTGCAATTCACTAACCAGTAAAAATCTTCCCACAAATTCTGCAGCACCAGCTAGATAGACATACTGAGGTAACAACAGGGAACTGCTGTTACTGCTCTCCCTCTGCTCTGACTGCTCTCTACAGCTTTCTTTTCCTCTGCCTTCACTCATACATCACAGTCTCATACAGTCTCTTCTTGAGTATCTCTCCTACTTCTGCCTGTGATATTACTCAGCTGATTTAAGTTTCCCAAGTATCAGCATTTGTAAAGAACTGGTAAGAAAAAGGGCAGATTAGGTGTGTGAAAATACAGCAATTAAAACTCGGCAATTTAAAGAGACGATAGCTATGTTTTTTATTTGTCCCTCATTGTCTTAACACAAAACACCATCATCAACCCCAGTTTCAAATGCTTCCCTTTTAGGTATAATTTGAAGTAGCAGAAATTACCTCAGTCCAATCAATGCTGTGGTGTTTCAGCTATGCCAGCACAGCCACTGCAGTAAAACATGCATGTGCAGACAAGCCCATTGAAAAGTGCTGTAAAACCTGTTTAGGTCAAATCAACCAGGTTTCTACAGGAAAAAAATAGTGTCTCTTGCAACAGCAAAGCACATAAGTGCTGCTATTTTATTGCAATTTACTCAATTCAGGCACCAGATGGTTTTGGGGAGAAGTAACAACAAGAACCATTACCAATTCTGTGCATCTGTTTGCTTTAGAGCATAGTTCTGACCAGGTTTGTTCTTCTACTAGATTTTAAATGGAATCTGAGGCCAGTGTTAAGATAGGATTTTTCAGTTTCTCAAACACATAAACTACATGAATTTATGCATCATTCTTTTACTATGTGAATCACAAGACTATCAGAGACCCTTCACACTGTCACTAACATGTAAGATATCCCACTGTGAACCTCATGGCCCTGAACAATCAATTTCCCTTTCCTGTGCTTATAAAGGTTTTATATCAACAAGATTGTTCTGCCCTTATCCTTCAGAAAAATTCATGGTGTTAAAATTATAACAGGTTCTCCTCTGCTCATTCAAGTTTAGACTATGTTTATCTTAGCTGGCCATGCATATGATACGGGAAGTAATAAAACTGGTTCTTATTCAACTGCTCTGGACAGGAAAGCCTAATGCAAAACACGAACAAAACAGTGAAGCCTGGGAGTGATACTGGATTCCCACTATCTCTCCTATTTACAATGGCCATAGGGACTGTATGTGGCATAAGAAAGAAGTGTTAAGCATTGCTGTTGGTAATTTACCTGCTGATCCAAACCAAGAGAAGGAAGTGGAAGTTAGGAGGCAGGTATCCAGGTTATCCAATGTATTAGTGCTACCTTATTTCTGAATTAGAGCTGTCATGCAAGCCTTTGATCAATCTTACTTAGGGAAAATTAAACTCACATCTCCAACTAATCTGCCTAATTTTCCTGAATGTTTCTGTGTAGACTTGCCTTCAGTCACAGCTCCTTCCCAGATTTGCTGCTGGAGTAAACAGTCATGCTTCCTTTCCCATTTTGAGCTGTAGCCCAATGTACTACCATCAGGTTACACAGAAGATTGTTAAGTTGATGTGTCAGCTAAGCTGTGGTAACTGTTCAAATGAGGGCTCTTAGCACCAGAACTGAACTAATTCAACCACACTTAAATTGTTATGTTTGCATAAGCATTGTCAGTCCTGAGCTCTAACATTTTGATCCAGACATACTTCTCTTAAGAGCTCTCAATAGCACAACTTGCTTGAAGAAAAGATAGAAAGTTTTCTGAGAATAATTTAGCAATCTTGAAAAAAGAGTATGAAAACAAGCCAAATCTTTATTTCTTCCCCTGTAATGTTAGAGCAAAGGCACAAGCTAAGGAAAACTAACACGGAAAAAACAAATATACCATTTCACTGTGTATTCATCACTGCAGATGCAACTTGGGATCAAGAATTGTGTTAAAATTACAAGATCAACATAAATATTTCTACTTATACTAAGGATAATTCCTTCTCCTGATTGAGGGCATAATGACTCAGTGTCCTAAAGAGGCAAACCCTTCCCTCATGGGACTAGAGGAAATGGCCTCCAGTTGTGCCAGGGGAGATTTAGATTGGATATTAGGAAAAATTTCTTCACTGAAAGGACTGTCAAGCACTGGAACAGGCTGCATAGACAAGTGGTTGAGTCACCAACTCAAGTTATTGAAAAGACATGTAGATGTAGCACTTAAGTCCATGGTTTAGTCATGGACTTGGAAGTGTTGGGTTAATGGTTGGACTCAATGATCTTAAAGGTCTTTCTCAGCCAAAATGATTCTATAGTAAGTTGTAGTGGAAAAGGAGAGCTTTAACTCCGATACGCTCTGTGTTCAGGACAATCTAAACTAGATAGATCAGTTGGCTGATTGAATTATGGCTATCACACTGCTAATGTAAGCATCTGTTTCTGCTGCTTTTAGGCATCTCATTCTACAACATCGCCCGTAATAAACATAAGTGCAATGAAGTGTGAATAAAATAATGAAAAAAATGAAAAATTGGAAAAAAAAATCCACAACTAACAGTGACAAGGCAAACATTTCTTCTACGGCTGCAGAGGCAGAACAAAGAGGACAATTCAGAGCAGAAATATGTACCTTCACTGTTGACAATTATTGAAGCAGTTCCAGTAGCAGCATCTGTAGTCTGATCTACAAATGCTAAGAAAGGGAAAAGTTAGAGCATGCATTAGTTCAATACATTACTTTCAACCAATAGCATGTGATGCAGTTTAATTGAATTAAATCTGAAATGAACCCATAACCTCCAGCAATTTGAAAATGCTAATTACTCTTTCATGTGCAACAATGCCAGAGAAGCTAACAACAACAAAAAGTGTTAATTTACACCCACAAAACAGAAATGCGAGTCCAACATTCTTTAATTTGGCTACATTGCTGCTTTAGAGAAAGCATGTTATTTATACAGCCTTCTCAGGCACTCTACTCCCACTTGGAAGTACTTCTTTTATCCAATGAAACAATAGAGTCAAGGCTGGAGAAAAATGAAAATAATAAAACAAAACAGTGTTTAATTCTGTGTAGGTTTGCATTTCAGCAGTAATATTAACATGTGCTGTGAAGGCAGTGGTGGGGCTATATGCTTCCTCTTTGAATTATTATTCAGATAAATTAACTAGAAGTGAGGCCGGCAGCACTGTCTGTTAGAAAGATTGTTCCATGTTTATCACTATAAGAACTTGTTTTCAATTTACAGAAAATTTGTCAAATATTAACCAGTGGTCCGAAACTGGTAGTAGAAACCAGTAGAACTGTAGTAGAAAACTGTCCAAAAAGCTGAGGGTTTTTTTTTTCCTTCCCCAAGAACAGTATTTGAAAAAAATTTACTATTTCATTTGAGACAAATTATGGTGACTTTTTCTTTGAGAAGCTCTGGGCATTCTAACATTTTAGAAGAGGTTCTTGATGCTGGGCAAAAGTGGGCTTCTTTCTCAAGATGCGGCCAATTTTACAATCTGCTCAAATTTGAACAAGGCTGAAAAAACACCTAACATCAGGCTCATCGGGTTTTACTGAAGTCTTGCAGGTACTCGCCCTGGAGGTACCCTCGTCTAGCTCAGTTACAGGGCCAGAGCAGACCTTCCCTTGCAATTATAGCTTCTTTTCACCATGAGCTCGGTCTGCACACTGGAATTGAAAGCAGAGAACTTGTGTCTTTTGTACTTTCAGTGCTCTTGCAGCATGACCAACAAGTTGCCCGGTTCAAATGTGGGAGAGGGAACAACAAATCAACAAAGATCTAAATGGTCTGAGCAACACTGGTAGCTGATTGGTTGTGGAAGATGGGACGACAGGGAAAGGGGAAAATTACAAACTAAATTGGAATTGAAAAGGAAAGTGGTACAGCGATGCACTAGGAAACATAAGAGCAACATAAACAAAGAAGACATACAACAAGGACCCAAGGTATGACAGCCAGCAGAACTGGCATTACAACAAGCATTTTCATTCAGTAACCAGTATCCTTATGTTCAACAACAGGGACAGGCTAGACAAGGATTAAACTGAGATGAAAGGCCCAGGACTGAAATAAGACCATCCTAAGCAAAAAGGTCTGTGCACACTGAATCACCTCTGCCTCCAGATCCTGGAATGCAAGTTGGGATCTTGGATCAGCCTCACCAGCAGCACATTCTGTCTTTCTCCAGGGCTGACCAATGCAGGAGGTGGCAATCAAACACCATTCTGAGATATTATCAGCAGAAATTGGTACCTTGGACCTAAATGCTCCAAACCTTCAACTGATCTACCTAAGTATCAATGAATTGCAATACAGTGGAATTTCTGAATTTTTTTCCCTATACTTTTCTTTTGCTGCTATAAAGACTATTTAAAAATTCATGTTTAGATTGCAAGAGTAATCATTTAAATAAAAAACACATCAAGGTTTCTTGTGGCATATGCATTTTCATTAAGTGCTATGCATTACAATTGCTTTATTTACACAATCAAAGACTTTATTAATGAAGTAGGCATGCTTTGGAAAGATTTAAAACCGTACACTAACAGGCACTGCTTTTATGGTATCCTTGCCTGGTTTTCTTACCTAAGTTGAAAGATACGCAAAGAATAAACCTGTATATACATTTGTGAAATATTTAGATGTTAAACTGATAAGCATAATAAAAAAGCCCACAAAATACTGATAGTTCTGTCTGTAAAGCAGGATTTGAATAATGCAGAACATGAAGCTGGTGGCTGCACATTAAACAGAAGAGATAAACAGAATGTTGAATAGCCACTTAATGATTGCATCTGTCCATCCTTGTCCACTCTAAAGGAGACAAGTTGTGCAGACAAAAATGTGATCATACAGTTAGGCAGCACGCAATAGAGAGAGAATTAGGGTTACAAAGGTGCAAAGACACTAGAAGACTGTGGCTGCTTAATTTTCCCTTTTTCTGAAAGCCTTTTAACATTGATTTTTGTGTGTACATGTGCTAACACCAGCTGCAGTCTCTAAAATGATGCATGTGTCATTTCACAAAGCAAAGGTGAGATGTACTGAGTTTACCAGTGCATTTTCACTCTATCCCTCCCTTCACAACATGAAATTGAGAATGAATAATCAGACTGAATTTTTCAATTTCTCACCAGGCATTATCATCATTAATGCCAGACTAAACAATTGCATATCAGTAAGTTATCTTCAGGTGACTTGCACTGATGCAATCATCTGAGGTTTAGAGGTAAAAACATTACATTTTATTGTTAGTGGTACAGCTGGTTTCAGAAGTCCTGTATTTTTACCCATATTCATTCATCAAAACAGTTATGCATAATTCTGAATGGTAAAATATATCCAAATAAGGCAATAAAATAATAAATCCTCCACCATCGGTTTTTAAAGTTTAAAAATAGTAAAAAAGGTTTCTTTAAAGTAAAATTTTACCTGTAGAAATACCATTCTTCTTCAAATTTTCAACATAATCATTGCCAAAGGAATCCTTCCCAACCTATACAAAAGACAAAAGAATGGGTTTTCTCTACAGAAAGGTGAGAGGATAGATAGACCATCTTTACACAACAGAATTCTCTAATGGAATTTGAATACAACACTTTCTGTGTTGAAGCCTTTTGCCTTATTAATCAACAAATAATACACTAAGAAGTAATAGTAAAAATGTATCAATAGTATTAAGAAACAATAAGAACAGTGTTCTGCAGTTTTCTCCTCCCCTATTACAAAATTTCCCCCTACACCCATGTCACTACATTTCAGTTTTGTTGTACAACCACTGTGCTCCTTTGACATTGAAACTTCCCAGGGATTGTAAAATCTGGATGTGTACTGAATTATTCAGCTTTGAATTGAAAATTTTGACAGCAATTCTGGTGTCCTTCCTAATTGCAGTTCATATTTTGAATTTTGTACTTCAAGTTTCCTTGGTGGAAAAATATCAAACTGTGGCTATAGGATAGAAAGTGATGATAAATATGGCAATTTCTATAATTCTCAATACTAAATGTACTGTTTACAAATTCAACATTCTTTGTTTTCTTTATCCAGCAACAGCAGATCAAGTTGAGTTAGGGAGTCAAGTTATGGTGTATTGTTTTTCTAGCAGCAAGTTAAAAGGCTTGTAATTTCAGCTCCACTAATCCTTTTAGCTGAACAGAATTCTGCTCGCTGTTTATTCAGATTAATACAAATTTCTTTTTGTTACATTATACAAGCTGAACAAAGGAGATGAGGTATATGGAGAAAACAAAATAGTACAACTTGCTTAATGTCACAGTAGCGTATTAAATATATTTAGAAAGCCAACAAAGCTTTTGATTCACCACTTTTAGCCTGTTTTGAGCATGCATAGCTCCTAAGTCCAAGAGTGAGTTGTGTATCTGAGCAGTATCAAAGACTAACCAATGGTACAGGAAGTATTTTTGCAAGAGAAAAAAACATCTTTCAGATTAGGAGTCAAATCAAGATCCTGGTGACGGGTCTAGACAATAAAGGAATTACATGAGGAGCCCTAACTAATAATCCATCTTCTCATAAAACAGCACTACACTGCTGGCAGTGTACTTGAGTTACTAGAAGCACAAAGCAACTGCCTCTACTGGTGGTTGTCAGAAATTTGTCTATTTATGAGCTCAGTCCTTCAGAAAGCTTGGAGAAGGCCTGAGTACTAGGTAGTGATCACAAGAATCAAGCCCTGTGATTCAGAATTCTAAAATTTAAAGTGTCAGGGATGGATGATCCTTCCCCTCACATATTTGATTGCACAACCATGATCTGAAACATGTTTTCATTTCCTACAATTTCTATAAGGGGTTTTCCTAAAGCATTATTAAGGATAGTTCCAATCTTTCAACAAAAGAAGACAGCAATTTAGGTCAGAATAGTCTAACTAGATGGAACATTCCTCTAACACATAAAAAAACCCTAACAACAACCATCAAAAAAAAAACCACAACAAATCACCAAATACCTAAACAAAAAAAACCAACCCAACCCAACAACATTTACTTGGGTCACTGTGTTATTCATTGTTTGCATATTAGAATATTTCTGTATCTCTGACTACTCCCAGCTTGCCAGACAGGGAGGGTTGTCAGAAGCTGCATCTTCTGACTGCTCTAGGCTGGATGACTGCAGTTTAAACCCAGGCTGTGCTAACCTCTGCAGCCTAACAGCTGTACTACCGGAATGTGTTCCACCTGATGATATCACCTTCTCCCTCCGTCACTACTACGAAGCTTCTACAACAAATCTCAGGATTTGCTCAATTATTTTAGCAACAAAATATTTCACAACCCTTTTCCAAAATCTCAACTGAAACTTCCTTCCTTTAGCTCTGGGTCCTACGTGACTGACAGACACCCCTTACTGCTCAACTGTCGCAACAGCTGAGATCAGTCGTAGTACTTTTGCCCGCAGTGAGACATCTCAGTGCCAGAGGGAAGCCCTTGGAGGGGTGTCCATGGAGGATTTTTTCCTCTGGAAACTTTTTTCCATGTTAGTTCATCAGCATCCAACCCAGTTAATCCTAGAGCATTTGAAGGGCTTTATCATTCCATTCAGGCTTTACCCCTAAGAAAGACAGAAGATTAAGCATCAGACTCATTTTAGATTAGGGGTATATGTACTGACCATGTCAAATTATATAACATTGTTTTAAATATTTTCTGCTATTGTACAGACCCTGGTAGATAAAGTATTGGATGAATGGAAAAATAAATGTCTTAGTCTGCTGACCACAGAACATTGTATGTACTGAAATAGCATTTCTTCTTTCTTGAGTTCTTAACAACAGCCATTTGCACAAGCATTATGGTCACACAGTTGGTATATCAGAATGAGTGCAATTACATCAGTATTTTTAATCTGGGTTTTCCCTGCTTAGGACCGTGTTTTCCATGTGGAGCTGGCATCATAACAGCTAGAATTCTAGGAGCCTAGAGAATCAAACTCATCTGTACCTGAAAATTAATTACAACAAAAACATGTATCTCTTGACATTTTTGTCTATTCTATATGCTCTTTTTTATTGGGAGTGTTTACTCTTTCTTGTCATTAGGGAATTAAACAGGTACTAAAGACAAGCATAAGACAGTTATACAAAAGGAAAAAAACCACTGAAAATATCCATCATGTTCTGGGCTGCAGCTGAGATACAGCTATATTCTTACAATGAAGTGAGAATTCGTGTTTACAGCACTTTAACTTAGATTTGGCTTATGGATCATCTAAAGAGAGAAGACTACATAGCATGGTAATGCAGCACTTCCTGTTTCTAAGTAAGAATCAAATGCAGCCGGGGCTTAAACAGAATTTAGTATATGCAATATCAGGCTGGTGATAGCAATGTACAATGAAGATCATTCCAAATTGTTTGTCAGAAGTAAACCAGGACCTTTTCCAGCACATACAATGTCTTTCAGACCAACATCCCTCCACCACCTTAATCTAGGATGTTTAACAGATTTTTTTGGTAACAGTCATGACAAGAAGAAAAAAGAAAACAAATAGTTTGGGGAGTTTGGATTCTCTCAAGAACACTGTTGATTTTTCAGTACTGCAACAGTGTTCTTTTATGAACATGAGTGATCTATTTATTTGCTTAGATCCTTTAGTACCCTGACAGGAATCCTTCACATTTCTCTGTAACTATTCCATCAGTACATTGTTTTACTGTAGGGAGCAAATTGAAGACTGTTACTGTAACACGTATCAATAACTCAGAGTAACAGCGGCCGCTTGCAGAGACATCCAAGCAGGAAGCACTGTTTGCATTTCCACCACCCAAAATCAGTACTTGGTTTTTACATTGAATTCCACAGCATTCTGTGGCATGTCTAGTCATAACTGCAAGCAGTTCTAAAACTCTCTCTCTCAAACCCTCACCAATCACTGGCCCTTTTGTGTCTTAAAGCTCTGAGGTATGAAGAATGCCTTGTCACTTGGTCAGAGATGTCTACCTCTACTCTTGTTGAGGACATCCTCTGTCTAAATTATAGTTCTCCTAAGAGGATGCCACACTCCAACAGAACATCTGTCTAGTATTAATACTGATTTCATTCCCTGAACTTCAGACTGTAGGAGCAACTCTTGCACTTCTACTGGATAAAAAATGTCAGGAAATATGACCAAAACAGAAGCACGTTTCTGAGCACTGTGCGTGTGTGTGTGAGAGAGTATGTGCATGTGTGTATGAGGAGCAATCTGGCTTAAAGAACCACTGAATACTTAAGATCATTTGTTGAAGTAAGAATAATTTAATTGTAGAGACTCATTCAGCAAGAAAGTTTATACTATGTCTCATTGACCAATGCAGACATAGAAGAATGTATATGATATGAGACTTCTATGAGATAGGACCATTTTGTGAGGTAATAAAGTGTCATTTTAAAAAACTAAATATTAACTTTTAAAATTAAAAAAAACCCCTGGTAACATTTATAGATATCAAGTCATTCTCTGCTGTTTCTTTTCTCCAATAAATACACAACAGAAAGAAGAAAGAAGGAAAGAAAGAAAGAAAAGAGAGAAAGAAAGAAAGAAAGAAAGAAAGGAGACTAGATTTTACTGAAATAACAAAAATATGTTTTTGAAAAAAAAATTAGAAAATAGAATAGCTACTAGATTTTATTATGAATGCATATGTTTCCATTGCACCAAGCAAAGGCTAGACCATTAAAAAATAAAGCAAAATTCACACTTGCAGTGGAAAAAAACCCCTTTAACATTTAGCAGAAAATGTTAGCAAGAAATTCACTGCCAGTTCATCTTGTACTTGAATCTGATCGTTCTTGAATGCAAAGATGATCAAATATACACAATATCACAGAAGCACAAACATTGCCAATATAAAAAAAAAACCCCACAGTAGAACAACTAGTGATAACAACCCACAGAAATGCTTGCAGGTGTAATCTAGATTTAAAGCCAACATTCTTTAGTCTAAATATTGAATTGGAAAACCAGTGAGAAAGGCTTCCTTGAGATGCTTCCAGTACTTCTCAAAAAATCCCTGACAGACAATGATCCAACAAATTTAGCATCCTCCCCAGCTATGGTAAAAACCAAAGTACGTCCAGTCAATTTGAAGTTTCATCCACAGTTAGCACAGGATAGACAATAAAGTAACAGAGAGAGAAAATTTGATCTTAACCGTAGTAATGATCACTCAAAACTTATAATGTTTAATGACAAAAATCAAAGAAAAGCATTGCAAGAATATAGCATCTGCCAACTTGAATCAGCCCCATGGTCTGTGAGCCATTCTTTAGAACTGCTGTATACCAGATGTTTCAGAAAAGCAGGCAAAAATATCCCATAGCACACAAAGGCCCTAGAATTTGGACATGAACATGTCGTCTTAATCTCAGGTAATGAGATAATGATTTAACCCTCAAAGCACAAAGTTTTACATTCCTCCTCAAATTTGAAGTGCTGATTGTTGTAACAGTGGGGAACATAAAGAGGAGGGGCTAATCAAGATTACTTGAATTTTGAACATCTCTAAGTCTCTCCAATTCTCTTTTCCATGATACATCAATCTAAGTTTTGCAATCCTTCTCTACATGCAATTCCTGCCAACTAGTCTGGTTCTGGCAGTGTTCTTAAAACAGCCTCCTCCATGCTTAAATTTATAGCTGAAATAAGAAAAAGAAAAGAGAATTAGAGAGGGATTAAAAAAAAATCTAAAAAGACATCTAAACCTTTTGTTTAAGTGATCAAAAGTTTTACTGGAACTTGCACGAATATTTAGTTCAGCTGTAATTCAAGAGCAAGTCAGTGCTTACCTTGCAGATCAGTGAGGTGTTGGCCCCAAGTCGAGCAGACTGGACACACTGGTTGGCTCCTTTCCCACCAAAACCAATGAAAAACTTATGTCCAAGGACAGTTTCTCCAGCTCTTGGCAATCGTGTAGTAAGGCTATTCCAATTAAAGCAATATTTACATATATTAGAGGCTGAAAATAACAAGTATCTTCAAATTAAGAGTTACATTCTTATAATCCTAAATGGCTCAACAGTCAGCCAGCAAGACTAAAAAATACTCAAAAGACCTTTTAGGGTCTCTATTCCACATCCCACTTGTTCAAGTTTATTCCTTATATGCCAGCCAGTCAAGCTTCTTGTTTATTACTTGATAAAGGGATTGAATTTCTTTCGTTCATGTTCCATGTTTCTACAGGAAATGAAGCACTTGACCCCTCATTCTGATTCTCCAGGGCTAACTCAATACAGATAAATAATAAATCTATAGGTCTCACTGCTCATGGCATTTCAACTGTAACATTCAGCTCAAGTTTACATATAGTTCTTTTAATTCCATTACATCTAATTAAACCTTCCTGAACCATCCTTGAGTAATTTTTCACTCTGTTGGTGTTTACACCCCTCAGAATTGTAATCGTTACCAAAATCGTCCTCCCCTCTGCTGTCACTCAGGCACACTGTACATATTTAACATTTTTCTTTTTTAAGTTTTTCTCTTACAAATCAAGCTTTACAACTTCTCAGCATTTTGTTGTTTCTTGAATGCAATCCAATTACATTTACATTCTTCTGGGGATGGGTGCCCAGAACCAGATGCACTAATACAAGCCGAAAGCCATCAGAAGTATATTCTGGTTTCATTTCCATTTTGGAAAAAGGAAAACAAAACTGTAATTTTGTTAACCCTTCCAGATGCTTTGCTATCTCCAGGAAAAGTTGAAAGGAATAAAAAACACTCCTGAGACTATTTGGAGGAATTTCTCTGAATGCAAAAGACTACCTGACTTTTGTCGCATCTATTAAAGTACATAACTCAAAGATTCATTTACAACACTCGACCAAAATTTCCACCTCCTTGAGCCACACATTCCAGGTATAAGGCTTAAAAATGTAAATTTTAAATCTCTTAAGCTCCAAACAAGTTCACAACACATGGGAATGGAAGGTATCCTATGGTGTAAATACTAGCAACCTGCTCAGTCAATGACAGTTACCTCAGACAGGTTTCCAGAAGTCTGCAGGATAGAAGGGGAACACGGGGAAGGAAGGGGAGTAAAATAATGCAGAAGAATCTGCCCTAATGATGAAGAGATTAACTTCAGCTCTGCTTGTCAACTTATAACATCTTTTTACTAATAAACCTTTTAACAGCTTCAAAATTCAAAAACTGAGTTCTGGACTCCTCAGTACAAAAGAGACATGGAGCTCCTGGAGCAGATCCAGTGGAGGGCATCAAAGAGGATTAAGGGACTGAAGTATCTCTCTTATGAGGAACGGCTGAGGAAGCGAGGCTTTTTCAGCCTTGAGAAGAGGCAACTGAGAGGGGATCTCATCAAAGTCTCTAAGTATCTGAAGGGTGGGTGTCAAGCGGATGGAGCCAGGCTCTTCTTGGTGGCGCCAGGCAATAGGACAAGAGGCAATGGACAGAAACTGATGCACAGAAGGTTCTACCCAGACATGAAGAAGAACTCTACTCTGCAGGTGACCAAGCACTGAAACAGAACCAGAAAGGTTGTGGACTCTCCTTCACTAGAGATATTCAAGAACTGCCTGGACGCAATCCTGTGCAATGTGCTCTAGGATGACCCTGCTTGAGCAGGGAGGCTGGAGGAGATGACTCACTGTGGTCCCTTTCAACTTCAACCATTATGTGATTCTGTGAAAATCGCCAGTTCAGAACAAAAGATTAGATATTAGGAAGAAATCCTTTAATGTGGGGATGGTGAGACACTGGAACAGGTTGCCTGGGGAGGTGGTGGATGCCCCAACCCTGGCATTGTTCAAGGCAGGGTGGAGAAGGCCTTGAGCAACTGGTCTAGTGGGAGATGTCCCTGCCCATGGCAGGGGAGGTTGGGAGTAGGTGATCTTTAAGGTTCCTTCCAACCCTGAATGTTCTATGATTCTATACTTCTGCACTAGGCAATCACTACAGATTGTTTTTTGACTTGATATGAAGAATACCTCTGAGCTTATGCTGTAACTTTCGGGGCATAAGGGTGTTTGCAGAATCTCATGGAATTAATGACAGAGCAGAGCCTAATTCACTGTAATTGTTCAGGAGAAAGCAAATGTTTTTTTCTCCCTCTAATTTTCAATTCCAGTATTCATCAGTTCAAAGGTTTAAGATCATTAAAAAAATCAAGAAAACCCAAAATGAATCTAGCAAAGTCAAGTAAGTCCCAAAGTCCCAGAAATTAAGATTTTGGCTTTGAAGGAGTTGTTACATGTCTGTGCTTCATCAGTAGTTACAGTTTCTAGAGAGACCCAGGTACGTAAGTAGGGACATCCACTAGCAAAGCACCCCAGATTTTAGTGCGAGGGTACAGTACACAGCTGGTAGGTTTATTTTGTGTGGGTGACCACAGATAAACCCCAAAAGAATCACACATTCAGCTAATAGCACTCATTTCCAGAGAGGCAGAGCTGGAAACATTTTGTTGGGAAATGTTTAAACAATTTTAAATAAAAATTAACAGATTTTTAGAAATATACTTGTACGTAGCTCATATACATATATATATATATATGGAAAGGATTGCTAAGTTATAACTGTTTGCCCACAGCCAGCATCTGAATAGCTGTACAGTTTCAGGCAACAAGGTGTAACAATAAATAGTATTGATAAATAGTAATAGATAAATAATGTTCAGTAATGGTAACGTGTAATTTATCACCATTTTCACCACTGGAAGCCAAGTAGAGATGGTTGGGGAGCAGAGAGTGAAGGCCACAAAACTTAGCTGAGGAAGCTCCTCTTCAGCCAGTGCCCGGGTACTGCACACACGCGTCTAAAATTCTGTGCCATCCAGTAAGGAAGGGATGTTTCACCCAGCCTTGGTAATAAATACTAACAGCAGCTCTTGTATAATTCCTTTCATCCACAGATCTCACTACACCTTAAAAAGCAGAACGACATCATTATTCCTGTTTTGCAGGTATGGAACCTAGTCAAGGCATTTTGCCTTTTCATGCCTTGGGTCAGTCAAGAAGCCAGCGGCAAAACCAAAATAAGAGATCAGCTGAAACCACTAGCTCATACTGTCTTCTCATTTAAATTCTGCAGTATGAAAATGGTATCAAGTCTCGATTTATTTTCATTCCTCGGGTTGGTTTTTTTTCAAAGATTATAGCTTTTTCTAAACAGAATTTTCTTCCACAAAAAGCTAATACATTTTTAGACAAAGATTAACAAGTGTGACACCCCAGCACACTTCTGTTAATAGCGCTGCTCAGAGCTCATATGCATTTTCAAGACGTACGTTCAACCATAAATATTGTTGTTTTAACAGTAGCCAGACTATGACTTGATTCTTCTCTCTTTTATGTTGGCATCAACATGCAACTTCAGTGGAAGCATCATAATTTCAGTAGTGAAAAAACAGGCTTGGTGAGAGGAGAACCTGGGCCTCAGTGCTTCAAGCAGCATGGCATAACAACTGCTTGTGGGAATCAAACAGCTTGTGGAAGATGGGGATATGACCTTTTTTATTGTGTTGATGGAAAGGCAAAAGGCAAAGGGCAAAGGATCAAGGTGGAATAGTGATTTATAATTAGCCAATTCTAAAAATAGGCTAAAACAGACTAAGCAAGAACAAGCAGCAGGTTCCTGTAGTTCACTGGAAACAAACACTTCACCTTACTTCATTTTAGGCATGATTGCCAGACCAGTTCTCCACTCCAGAAGCCTATTTTTATTTTCCATATTAAACAAATTCAGAGAACTGATCTATATATAAGCCTGGAGGTTTCACTTTCACTGAAACCAGCATTTAAGATTTTTTTTTTCTAATATAATGCTATTCTCTCATCATTTAATTCTGCAACTATACTAACTTCTGATTCACATCAGACAATTTTAATGAGCATTTCAGGCTTCTGTCAGAAGCAAGCAGTGATGAGTAATCTGTATGATTAAGAAACCCTAAAAATTCTTGGCTTACTGATGGTGCCACAAAGAATACTCAAAATAGCCTAAAAGTGATGAAACAGCTAATGTTACTCCAAAACCAGGCTAAATAAGTTAATTAGAAAAACTGTCACACGGGCTTTCAGAATTGTTACATAAAATGTTTTGTAAAGCCATTTACAACTTTGACGTAATTTGAAAACACTGACCTGAAAAACCCAAATAAGCTACTATTCAACAGACTTCTCTTTGCTTATGTGACAACTTCTGATCAGCTTTGAGGGGATAAATGGTGCAAAGGATACTAAGCTGCCATGTCTTATGAACAGCCAGAAACTAAATTTGAAAATCCCCAACACTTATTAGATGTATAATAAAATTACTGTATGTTTTACAAACTGTACATTGTATTACTGAATTGTATTTATAGAGGAAAGTTCAGATTGAAACATCCTGAATTACTTTGGATACTACAAACAAGGAATATAATCACTCAGAATTTCAACTGAGTTTTTACAAAATGTAAAGCATAGAGCAATGCTGCCCACATTTGTTCGTGACAAATGAAGAATTGTACATCCACTTACGTTTCAGGGGTTTGGGATGAATAAAGGTACACACATAAGAGTTTCACCACCGCAATAACTTTAACCCTCTCTTCCAGTAAGTGCGTGCCACAAGTTCCCTTAGAGGCTAGAGCTGATTAGCATTTGTATTTTCACACAGACATCCCTTGGGAAGGATGGCATTAAAACCAGAACAGAACCCTTTACTACTGTGTTGAAGCACTGAATCAGAGGTGAAAGCAGAACATACTGAGTCATTAATGACCCTTTCCCCGGTAATCTGGGTTTTCTTGAAAAGTTCCCATCTAAGCAGTGACTAGATCATATTCGGAAAGTATGAAGAATGAAGAAAGGGAAAGGGAAAGATGTATATTAAGCAGCATTTGCATAAATTAATCCTGAAATTAATCATTCCGATTCTTGACACCTACCCAGTGTCTGTTCATTGTTTTCAACACACGA